TTTTTTTTTTTTTTTTTTTTTTTTTTTTTTTTTTCATCTAAATATCGGAAGCCTGGACGGATTGTCGATTATCCATTTTAACCAGTATCGATGTATATAGATATAAGTACATATGATACAGTACCGTTACCCACCGATTCCTGATTACTCGTGGACGTATATATACAGGTACATCGTGTACGTTCTCCATATGATAAAGTTCAAGCAAATCGATGACATGGGTAGGTACGACGTCCTTCCTCGATGACGTAGTCTGTTCAGCAAAGCAATGCGCAACGCGCAACGTCGTAATTAGTTGCTCACGGCATTGCAGATAATTACACGCTCGGTCTGAGGTAGGTATAAGCATACGTGTGTGGATCTGTACATGGACTAGATAGGTGCTTCGCTCACGTGGAGGGGTATTCTATAATTTATTATTGTTATCATTATCGTTAATACAGCGCACGGGCAGTCGTGCACGAGTGTCACTGCCGGCAAGATTGTTATCGGTACGACTGAATTGCATTGGTAGATAGTGCCGCGAATCGAATGAATTAGTTGAGAGTTAACGAGTTTTTGATAATTTTTATTAATTAGTAACGGTAAGTGTATGACGTAAAAGTAATCGTATTTGAGATCAAAGCGATATGTGACGTGGATACACATACGCGTGGACGGTGTAAATTTTCAAGATATGTCGTACACGTATGATTCTGCTCGCGTCATGTGTCACGGGGATATGAGAGTGTGGCAAGGCAAATTTTGTGTAAAAAAATTTTTTTGGGGAAACTGTCCAAATTGCGTATTAAAATTATGCTGTTGCAGGTATGCAACGAGCACGTATGTCTTGCTGATATTATCACTCGAGGATACATACGTGTACGGGTCGTAAAAATGATGTGAGACTAATAGCAGATTATAGATAATAGATAATAATGTAGAGCGCAGTGCTACCTACGGAGAAAGTAGATAAATTGTTTATCTGTATGTGGCTCGCGATTGGCCGATACCAAAGTAGCTACTTTACACACCGGTACGGGTCTCTCTCGGTTAGCGCGAAATGAATTCAGATTTAGTAGATAATAGATGATACTGTTACGAGCTAAGAGGTAAGACTGCGTATACGTAGTAAGAGAGCGGACCTGGTTTCTCGATGCTGACGAGGGAGAAGAAGATAATAGATAGGTCAACGTACTAATTGAAGGCTCCCGTTGCAGCGTTAACGCGGTACGTGAAACTCTAAAAGATGACTGTCGTAGATAAAAGAGTGGGAATAGGTTGGCAGAGCTCATAACCATCAATCAAGGTATAGACGCTCTCTGTATATTTATTTCGAACGATTCGTCCGAACCGCATTAGATAACCCAACTGGTTTATCGAAGACGAGCCAAGATTCACGCTACCTGCCGACGAAAATTGGCCAAGTACCGTTTACAGCGTGGCGCGTGGAAGAGTCGGGATCGAGAGTGGCAAATGGAAGGGCTTGGGTAGGAGTGGAACAATTAGCCCGTGAGTAGTGGTGATGGTCAGACACTCGTCAGACCGAAAGCATCGCGACGTCCAGCTTTAAATCGAGGCTCTACGCGTTACCTTTAGCGAAGGATAGAAACGTACCGCGAACTTAGAAATTTGTTTATTTTTGTCATAAATTTTTGTTTTTCTGTAAAAATTTTTGTTTTTCTATAAAAATTTATTTTGTACGAAATCAAAAAAAAAACGGTGACGTAGGATCGATATATCTTAATTTTTCATGTAATGCTAGGTAAGGGTATCCTTGGTTGGATCGGATCAACGGATGCCCGAGTCTAAGCTTTTCGAAAAGAGCGAGGATCTCATTCGTTAACGAGGATAGGAGAGTAAACAAACGGTGGATAGAGTGAGAGAGTCTGTAAGTAAGCATGTGCTCTCTAGTTTGTAGCAGATTCTGAGGGGCGGTAGAGCATGACGCCATTAAGGTAACGAGGCCACACGTTGCACCCTTGTCGCCTACGTCCATGGGCCATGGGCAGAGAGTATATAGTGAGTGTATATAGTACTTACGGGGACCAGACTAGATACGGACCTGACCGATTTCGTTCTAGACGTGTATTAACAGAGCGGACTCGTAATTATGGCACGTATGGCTAATATTGGCGAGTCCATCCATTACCAGAAGCTCGTACTGGTATGCTCCAGTTTTTCAATCGAACACATTACCTAGCGACTGGTTCTTGATCATCCATGCGTTTTATTACCAGGCGCAGGCTAATCGATAAATAATCGATGCGCCTATTACTGATCGGTATAAATCGATTTTTCACTTTCTACACTAGCTTCTGCAGAGATTGTGCTGTGAAAATGATACGTAAAATAAATAATAATCCATTGACATATAATAAGTCAATTTTATCTCTGTGGCATCTTCTAGGCTTGCAATAAGGTCACGTAGTACTATCGTCCCGTGATCTATGACTAACAGTAAAGTTCGCGTGTCCACAATTTGCATTGACATGCAGGAAGCAAGTGCGTAGCAGGGAATAGGTTATGCAGTCAGATAGGTAGGTAGGATGCTGGATTAGAGTCAAGAAGTGGAGATGACCGGGGGAGGTGACGGGCGTGGAATCAGATAACGACGTGAACATCATAATCCAATCAGAGTGGACTTGGTCGAGTTCCAAAGTTCACGCGTAGGTACAGTCCCACGTGAACCGCGTGCGTTCGTTGTTATATATTTATACTCTGTAAAGACCTATAAAGTTCTGGGACTGTTGGGCGAGCAAGTGTTCAGTGCCTGGCAATAAGTTTCTGAGGTCATCCCTCAGGCTGTTCAATGATGCCTGATCCCACGAGAGGAACAAGCAGTTCAGAACAACATAGCAGATTGGCAGGGATTCAGGGTTTGCCGTTCGGGTCGTTTCTTATCTTTGGCAGGGTAGAGGGCGCCATTGGTTTTGAAGTCGAATTACGGTAAATTAGCGAGAGTAAAGAGGCCAGCGGTGAGCAGGTACCTACATCGAAGAAGAGGAAGAGGAGGATGATGAAGAGAAAGACGAAGTGGTAGAGAAGCCGAATGGACGGATGGACGGACAGACGGGCAGGGGCAAACATAAATTAAGATGGGGGACTGATTATGAGGCGAGGGCAGGCTATCATTACCGGAGCCATCGTGACCGGTCGACCCTGCAGCCGTGGCTGCTGAACACTGAACACACCGCTCTAGGTACATCATGTTCGCAATCCTCCTGCCTCGTGCCCCGATAATACCGGGGTGGGAACTGCAAATTATTAATCTCTGTTCCTGCATTACATAGTTCAGGGAATATCAAACGAGTATTGTCAGGGACCGAGGTATTCACGTGCCGAAGCACCGCGGATACCCGCCTGCTCACCACTGCAACCTGATTCAGCGATTCGGACGGAGTGAACCAAGTGGCCGTTTTCGAGTGTACAAAAAGTGTAGAGGAAAAAATAATAACGTCTTATAAATATCGATATATTAGCCGTGACGACAGTTGATTGGGAGAAGAGATGGGTCAATTGATTGATGCTTGGAAGTGATTAGATCGGTAATTTAGAGGACGATGAGACTGTGTAGGTACACGTTGTTAAGCGCTGCATACGCACGTTTATAGGTATAGCTGGTTTTGTTACTCTTGCAGAAGTCAGCGCCGTGCGCGAAAGGACTTGATAGCTGGTAGAATCTAGAAAAGGGTCGGGACCGGTAGACGGATTGGCTGGCGCAGGCCGTGAATGGCTGCTCAGCCGGTTGGCCAGTTGTTTCAGTTGGCTAGTTGGCAAGTTGGCTGCCGCGGATTGTGAAATGAAAGTGGTCTGTCTGTTCTGTCGCTCTCGGTAGCCGCTCTGACCTTTTGCCTCGTGCAACCAGCAGGCACAGAGAGACAGAAGAACAGCAGGAACGTTCGATATAGTACGGAGCACTGTACATACAGTTCTGCGTAGATGGCGGACAGTAATACCTATCTTACGTGCGAGAGACCAGAGAATAATACCCAGAGCCATTTCATCCAACATTTTTTTCAATACCGATCGCAAGGCCCAACAATTAGAGATTGTATCTTGAGCGGGGACTTGTCGGGGAGCAATGCTAGGCCTGGCCCGGGTTGCAATTGGAAATGCTGCTTGCTACGTGACGCGCGTGCCTATCCGAGCAGATTCGGGGCCCGAAGGCTCATTGGAACCCATTGGGTCAGTAATAATGTCTTTTACATTTTCTTCTGATACCGTATATAAAACTTTTCCGTATTACGGTTAGGCTCGGTGAAGTTTACTAGGCAAAGTCGGATGACTTTAAGAATTATGATTGTTCTATGAAATTATTATTTATCGTCAGATATAGTGATCGCAGATTAACACGCAATTACTATGATTTATGAGAAATCGTTTGGAGCTATTGTATAGACGTAGAGCATAAGCTGGAAGGTATGAGCCACACTTACACGCACGTTACATCCTCAATTATGGTTATTAGTATGCCGCTAATAGTCTATAAAAATTGTATACGATTCGCAGTGCTAAGTGGCCTGCGTACTGATACAGTGAAGACTGTCAGCGCGGCCCTGCGCGTCTTGTAAAACGGTAGAAAAATGATGTATAGTATTATTATATGTCGACTGATCATCGTTATCGTCATTGTTGCCACTACTGATTACGTATTTTCAGCCAATCGAGAGATTATTGACTTCAACGATCGTGATGCACTACTTGCTCACGACGATGTACTGTATCGTTTTATCAGAAAATCAGAAAAAATTAGGAAAACGATTCTCGATTCGCCGACAGTAAACTATCATAATCTCATCATAGTAGTGCTCTGGATGGATAATACAGATGATTTTCTTATAGACGGAATATCAAGAAGACCCAGTGGGGATCGGTGTGTTATAAATAGAAAAAAGTACAATACCTTTAGGGCCCTTTTGCGTGGTGCATGGTAATAGCTCCAGTATGTTCACGACTGCCCCCGGTGAGAAGTGCTGCAGGGACTCGTCGAGTAACGCGGAACACATTCACAAGAAAAACAATAAAATATCTATTTGCATAGCCGCGCGTGCACTTTTAAGACTCGCCTGATAAGTTATCCTGATAAAACGGGCCGCTTATAATCTCACAGCTTCCGCACTCCCGATGTGATACATAACCTCCAGACGCGCATCACGTGTATTATTATTGTGCGCATGCGCAACTGTTCACTCGCCACAGTTACCGTCCGAGTGTCGGTATGCCTGTGCGTGCCAGAGTGCAACTTTACAATTCGAACGCGAATAGGCGTTTATTCGGCAAATAAAATTCCTTGTCCGGCAACGTCAGTCAAATCTCCGAACTTATCCGAAGATTCTCGAGTGTAACGACCACTGAGAGCGTCCTACCATTGCCAGAGTCATTACAGCGACGACGTCTTTCGTTTCAAGTAAGAGAAAACTAGTGATTCCTGTAACAATAGTGCTGCCATCTTAACCTTACAAATATTTGACAGTCGCTACGTTACCTTATAAGAAGTTTCTGACTACGAGATGGCGGCGGGCATAAGTAAGTTATATTCGAATAAATAATGACGCTGCCACTCGAGAGAGGATTCCTAATTCGGTACGCATTACACAAAAATACTTGCATACGCGTAATCGAAAAGAGAAAAAATTCCTCAGGCAAAAGCAACGGAACGAAGAGTCTTGTAATAATAAAAAAAAAAATTTGAAAACCCATGGCAGATCGTGCGTCACGCGAGGATCTGATTGGTTCGCGGCACATTAGTAACCTGTTTGTTGCTCGATAAAACGGGCGATCTTCTATCGTTTGAAGATTTACTAGATTTATAGACCAGTCATGACGGGGTGAGTTGCTACGTGTGGCTAGGCTATATATATTCCAGGCTGCCACGCGGATAGCCAACAGCATCCCATCTTATAATCCCTACAGCGATCCCCGGTCATACGAATTACTAAACTAGCAAGTACATGAAATCCTCCATCAACTATACGTTGACCTGCTAACTATCACTTGATTGATTAACTTTTTACCAGATGACTACACATCCTTCGTCATAACACGAGACAGAATACGTATCTACCTCCACTTGTGCATTGCCGCGGCTTAATTAATGGTGAAATTTATGGCGAACGTTAATGTCGCTACAAACGATGAGGAGAGAGTGCCACCAAGCAAGTGGCAAACGTATAGTCAGTCAATCAGCGATAGTCACTGACTGGAGTGAACGGCCATAACCCACAAGGTACAAGAAACGTACAAGAAAGCGTTGACTACGAGTGTCGTTTATCACGAGAACACAAACGAGATTGTCACCTCGCTTTAAGCCGCCCTCTATAAATCCGAACGTATACTTGCCGCATAATGTTACGTATGCGTAGCAGCATATATAGTACTCGGAACGTCCACTGCGATGCTGTGGCGTTGTGGGCGTTTAGCGAATTCCAACGAACGCATTCTCCACGTGCACCAGTCTGCACTCAGCACCCACGTACATAGTCGATTTCTTACCTTTACCTATCACTGCTCCTGAAACACTGGGCCTCATTGTTTACGCGATTGTTTGTTAACACGCGACTGGGACGTGGTCGGCGCGGAGCGCCGCGACGGTAACACGGCCTGTTCTAACGGCCGACATGTTAATCCCCGGTTTATGAACCCTACGTTACACGCTATGGGACTTCATTAGTCGTTGCTGCTGCAAATGGCGGCTATGTTCATGCACCTTTCTTCCGTGCTTCATAGGGCTATGGAAATTTTTAATTTATATTTTTAGATACGACTGCGTTAAACGTGCGAGTGTTATTTTTAATTATAATAATTACGGTAGGATTTTTTTTCTTTTGATTCGGAATCGTGAGCTTATTTAATACTTTTTTTTTCTCCTGTCGTAATGTGTATAGTCTATAGTGATACGGTTGCGTGACCAATCGATGGAATCAATCGGAATCGATCATCATCTCGAGGAAATTGATCGAGTGGAAGGAGAATCGATCAGAGTAGGTAAGATTCGCGGAAATTGGCTTAACGGATTATCTGGTTTCACAGTTTCACGGTTTAGTCGTTCTTGCGCCGAGCCTCCTACGTAAGAAACCGGCGAAGCTATCGAAAGTAAGTGATTAAAATGATTCTGCAAGAACGTCAAGACGAACTGACTACTGTAGAATCATGGAATCGTAGTGACTGTTAACGAACCAGAGCGCAACCTATTGCTGTAAATAGTTCCTAATGCAGCTGCGATGAAGAAAGCATGCCCGAGAGTTATGGTTTGACGTGTTTGTACTATTGATAGTGCTGCCACCACGGTCACCGTAGTAACTGACGTTCGGTCAATGTGTTGCCGACTATTCGTACCTACGTTCACTGCTATTACAGCCGAACACAATGCGCAGATGACTTCCGATTTCGAAATTGGAGATCCGCTTGATGTCAGGATTGCCAATCGCGAACGCTCGTAAGTGCAGAGTGGAATGATTCCTGTCTTGTTATCCAATCCTGCCAAAAAGTAGAGCGTAAATTAACGTCGACGCACTCGTCGTGCGTGTCGGATCGATTAAGTTGCCACGAGCGAATTTTAATGCCGCGTAAACGCGCTGCACTGCGCGTGCGTAATACGTATGCAGCGGAACGCGAGTTTACGCAAAAAGCCGCGCATCAATCCGACAGGCTGCCGTGCGTGTCTCAATTTCTTCATTACATTGATTACGGATACGACCATACGAAGTGGCTGTATAACGAACTGTATGAAATTCTTATTGGGCGTTCTCGAAATATATATAAATATATATACGTGTAATTTTTTAATATCGGATAACCATAGATGGCATTGGATATAAATGAATTTCAAAGAATTTTAAGATACCGTACTCGATCTTAGTAATGATCGGTGGTCCTAGAATTTATCGAGACAACCGTAAAGCCACGGTACTGTAATAAATTAAGATCGAGCTTTCAGAATTTCAGGATAATAATATGTCACGACGTACCGCTGAACGTCTAACCAATTCAATAATATTTTTCAAGAATCAAGTTATAGGCAGGATTCTTTGAGCGAGCCTGTACCGTCCCGGAAGTGTCCCTATTCATTCGGGTTTATCCTTGCAAGGATACACGACTGTATCTTAATTTTTTTTTCATTTACGAACCGTATAACGTAACGGAACGGTCACGCGATCTGTCGGCTAACCTCAAATTAGTAACTCAGCATTGACAGGCTCTGACATTAACGCCACATAAAATCCGAATCCTTTAATCAATGCCCGACTAGAATCTATCAATCATTACCGCTCCAATTTCTCGTAAGAGTATCAAGAATTTTCACGATACATTTCTTTTAATGCTCATTATTTAATTCAGTCTTTTAAGGAATTAGTGGCAGAACTCGAGCACGCGTCCGAAAGTATCGCGTCTCCCAGCAGCGTTGCCAAGTGCTTGAAGTTGTCTTATTATGATTCTGCTCGAAATAATGATATTACCAACCAGTAAAAGTAGACAGGGAGACGCTGGCACCGGGCTTGGGAGCGTAGGAAATCCTAGGAAGCGAGACTGCGTCGGTTGGTGGTGGCGCTGACGGGTGCGCGGGAGAAAAGGAGACCTTGCGGACAATAAATGCTGGCGGGCGGGGAGGGATAGAGTGGCGCATGCGCACTTTGCCATGGCTCGTTGGGCCCACGCGAACACTTTACATTCACAGCTCCTTCGCAGGGGCCAACAATGCTCGGTCAATTGTTATTATATTACACGTTATTATCGGCGGGCTTATTGAACGCGCGAGCGATCGCACGGCTCGCGCCTGTAGCGCCATGACGCCCAGCGCCGTTGCGGAATTTACTTAACGTTTTAGCTAACTCATCGCACGTTATTGGATTCCTTTCCGTGCGCGATACCGATTGTGCATAATGGCAACGGCGCCAATTGGGTATTGGCAGCGCTCTTTGGAAACGGATAGACCAAACGATGAGCCGAGTAGTTCGTTGCACAAGACACGGCGGCGCTGTGGTCGCTCGTTTCACACCGTTGGATATAACTTCCTTATACCTCTGTCGACCGGTAAGTAGAGATAATTAGAAACAAAGATTAGTGCCTACTGATTGCTCCACGGGATACGTACAAGACACTGGAGAAGGTCGATCAGCTGACTTATTGTTACTGAAATTTTAGCATCCGCGTGTATTCAGTGCTTACTACGTCGCCGTGTTAATGGCTCGGCGCGATATAATTTTCAAGATCCGACCAAACGACCATCGGGCTGTTTCAATTTTTATTGCTTCCCCGTTATTGTCGCGGCGCGACTCGTAAACATAATTGCAGTTGTTTCATTTGTACTTTTTTTTTTTTTTTTTTTTTTTTTTTTTTTTTTTTTTTTTTTTTTTTTTTTTTTTTTTTTTTTCTTTACGTTCGTCAGTTGGTATTCCTGTTATCTTTTACGAGCGTGGCCTTTCTCTGTCAAGGTATGTGAAGTTATTAGGAAGCGAGGCTATTTCTCTCGTGATGCGCTTCACCTCGCTTAAAGCTCATCTGCACCTCGTTAGTCTTTGGTCGTTAGGCCACCTATTATTTACAAGATGGTGTATTGCCAGTGCGTGCATTCATATATATATATGAACATACGAGATCGTGTTCGATCAAACGCCCATATAATTTTACACGATTACACCCTAATGGAGAATCGAAAGAGATCTGTTCCTATTTCTCCTTTGAGCCATTTCAGTTCTTAGAACAGAACAATCCGTTATTCTTACGGACTGTGTTTCAAGCTGATATCTGCGATAGCAGCCGTTACTATCGTAAAGTCAAACGCAGATGTGGCTGAGGTTCAGAGGCTATATTCACGCCGTAATCGAATGAGAATTGAAATACATTGACTTTGTATCTATAGCTTACTAATATATAGATATACGACACATGTATTTCATCGTTCAGCTCGTCTCCCCTGGAAACATAGTAAGAAAGAAAACCGTTTGGTTTTTTTTGGAAACTCTCGAATGTCCGACTGCCTGAAGGTAGGCGCAGAAGGGGAGTTATATGTTTTATATAGAACGCGATTGAACTCAGTATATTCCTAGTATCGATTACTCTTCCGGCAGTGAAGGCATATTCTCTTTTTTTTTTTGACCAAGTAAACCTTTTTTTCCAATCGACAATAATAATTATAATTTTCCCGGTACAAGTCTAACGTACCGGTACCCTGCTACCGAGATCAGGAACAGCGGATACATTTGATACCAGGTTGGTACCGCTTCTTAGATTTTTAAAAGAGTATGAAAAGTCGTTTACGAGGATCGTCGCAATCGTTACCGATAAATCAACAGATGGCAGCACGATAGCTCCTATCGAAAATTTAAATCGTCCGTCTCTCCCCGGTTAAAATCACGCTCGGCGGTTACGAT